CCTCCCGGCCAACCAACCGAGGGGCGCGTCTCAGAGAAATCGAAAAATCCAACAGACCGGTGACAGAAAACCAGTAACAGTCCAGACTGCCCTGAACCTGAAACCGAAAGCGGAAGGTCCCGGTTACATTTGCCTCTTACACTAAAAGAAGAGGGAATTTATTTAACGCACTCAGTAAGTAGTTTTTGATACAGAAAAGCGAGAGGAGGAATCAAAGTTGGTGAAATGTGTATTACATTCGTTACACAAAGATCTAAAAGGGTCGTGCATTTCAAAGTTTGTTCTGCACGAGCCCAATGAAAGGGGCCTAAAGTGTCTAGATGTTCTTACCGGGATGGTGAACTCAAGCTCGCTAATTAGGAACAGGCTATTGATAGCACCTCTAATCAATTTAGTTAAAAATAAAACTCCAAGAATATTTCCACGACCATGGAGTGTAGGCAGATTAATGAGCCGTAAGCGACTCTCGTAAGAAGGCAGGTTCTTGTTCGCATCCCAGTTTATATTTCTTAACGCGAATAATAGGACATGCTTTTGTACATATAATATTCCAATTTATCACTATACAATTCATGGTATGGACTCCGTACAACTGAGCCAGATTTTGTATGGGTCCTCGAATTCCTTAACCCAACTCCTTTTGGCTTATAAATCTAGCTTAGAGTCCATTGTGACACCTAAATCAATGAAATCAGCAAAAAGTTGGAAGGATTTTCTGGAGAAACACCTTACTAAATTATTTAGGTCAAGTTGCAAAAAATGTCTATCTTCAATAGAATGAACTGATTTAAAGAGCTTGACATCATGAATAATTTAGAATAAAGAACAAAATTTTTAAGGTCGATGATGAATATAAGGAAAAGTAAGGGACCAAGGTGACTGTCTTGAGGAACATCAGACGTTACTGCTTTTTCACGCGATGTACAATTTTTAAAAATTACTTTCTGTTTTCTACTAATCAATTATGATGAAATCCATTTGAGAAGAGAAGGTGGAAGCCCAAAATGATCGAGTTTAAAGTAAAGTAAAGGATGAGAGACCTTGTCAAATGCTTTGCTGGAGTCAGTGTAGATAATATCTGTTTGATTACCATTTTCGAAACCATTACTGGCATGGGCGGTGAATTCTAGCAGGTTCGGTAAGCTAGATTTATCTTTGCAAAACCCATGTTGTAAGATGTCTATAATTGATGATAATGAATGGGCTAGTTGTTCAGTTATAATAGTTTCGAAAAATTCGGGGATAGAACATAACTTTGCTATCCCCTATAATTCCCTATTGAACATCTACTACTAGACTTACGTAGAGGTACAATGTAAGACTCTTCCCACAAAGAAGGGAACAAGTTTTGCTTTAATGAAGCTTTGAATATGTTCGTCAATGGTAGAGATATAGAGATTCAGCACAAAATTTAAGTACACTAGTAGGGATATAATCTGGACCGCATGTGAATGAGCTCAATCAAAAGAAGGCATTAAGTAAGGGTAAATGAATGGCTGCAGTGTTCAATTTGTGTTCGGCACATAATAAGATTGGAGAATGGCTGCGAACATATCTGCGATTCTGTAACAATTGTTAGAGACTTCATCATTCATTTTCATAGATGATGGAAACCCAAAAGTCTTACGTTTCGAATTAACAAAACTATAGAATGACTTCGGATTCGTAGTAATGTTATTTTGAATTCTTGTCATATACTTCTTGTAACACGACTTATTCAAAATATTATACTTTTGTCTAACTACGGAATAAGCACCATAATCAGAAATTTTGCCGAACTTTTTATAGAGCTTGAATAATCAAGTCTTATTTTATTTTAATCTTATTTTTCAAGCTATTCAATTCTTCATTAAACCATAAAGCATTTTGAGCACGGATCGGCTCATTGGTTATAGGAACAAATTTTCTGAAGGCAGAATGTAAGCGCTTGTGAAGTGAAGAACGCTTTCTTCCATTTTTCCGTCATACATGGACCAGGAAATTGTAGACAGCGCATTTCTAAGATTAATATAGTTTGCCTTTTTAAATAAAAAACGGGAATTTTTCGACTTTGAACTAGATAATAAATAATTAAGATTAGAGGGAACATCTAAAGATAATTCGAGAGATGGATGATAACCATCTTCGGGCAAAACAAAAGCATCACAGCGACTTGAAGGAAATGACGAAACGTCATCCAAAAATATTATATCCAAAGTTTTTCCAGACTTATTATGGATCATATCTATTTGAAAAAGGCCCAGATCAGAAAGCTCATTTAGGAAATCATGAGCATTATCTCGAGTTGAGCTAGGTACTAGAAAACTGTCAGAAAAATTCCATGATACACAGGGTAAATTGAAGTCGCCTATCACAACAGCATTGGCAGATGTTTTAGTTACGGAAAATAATGATTTAACCTTGACGACAGAAGAAAGTAAGTAGAAAAATCAGAATTTGGCGGTAATTTGGCGACAATATAAATATTTTTATTAATTAACCGTATTTTAACACAAAGGAATTCCATCGCTGCCGATTTCGCAAAATGAAATTCTTCCGCAGAAAGGTCACTTTGAACACCAATAAGTACTCCACCACCAATTTGATTTAAGCGGTTATCTCTAAAAAACTTCAAATTTGTTGCCTAAGATTTCAGAGTTGAAGATATTTGGTTTAAGCCCAGTTTCGGAGAAAACCAAAATTTTATAATCGCAGTTTAAGCTCATTGTTCAAACCTCTTACGTTTTGATAGTAAATATTTAAGTTAATATCTGTTAACAGCTTTTTGTCTTAGAGGAGGCTACACTTAATTGAGCAAGATTGTTACTAATCTTTCTTTGCTTTAAATCAAACTCTCGGACAAAAGCACCATTCGGCCAAAATAATGAGTTTAAAGGTACGTCGAAGGAACCAGCGGAAACATCTATTTAAAAGGAAGCTACAGATCTTTCATGAGAAAAATTGAACTTCCTAATATCCCATCCTACTGTATTTAATTTACATTATATATAGGATCGCACGTCATTCGCAGTTGCATCTTTTGCAAACCGCGATACAAATATGGACTTCCTTTTCGGAACCACAACTAGCTCTTTTCTAGCTGTGGTTAAAGCCGAGAGAGGAGCTGAAGGAAGTTAACGCTCCTCAGCAGCGACTATTTTAACATGCTTAGATGCAGTCAAAGTAGTAGTAGGAGAAGGGGTAGGTGCAGAGGGAAGTGGACTTGAAATCCGATTGTTTGCTACTTCTAATGTCTTAGAGGTAGCTCTAGTTACACAACCTATAGGGTTTGGAGGGTTGTGTTCCCCGTGGCAAGGGGAATTAAATGAAATGGTAACAAAATTTACTGACAGGCCTATTCTGTCGAGGTAACAGGTCTGTAAATGGTAAATTTTAATACCTGTAACAGGCCTATTCTCACTGTTACCGGTAAAGTAAATTTTGTTACTTTTCTTTAACACCCAAAATTGAATTTGGTATTCTGGCGAACTGGTTACAATGTTTGAAAATAATTTGGCAGCACTGCTTTTTTCGTCCATGTCGAATTACATTTGCTAGTTGATAAAGTAAAAAGAAAAATATCCATATCGAAATAGAAGACGGTGCACAAAAAAATTAAAAAGTTTTATTAATTTGTTTATTAAATCATAAATATTTGAGCCTGGACAACAAAAGAAGCTGAATGAAAACGATATTTTACAAATTAAAGGACTATTTTTTGTCTCGAAAACTTCTTAAAATACGGCTTTTTGCACTTTTTCTTCATCTTCAATGAATTCCAGGCCTAAAATATGCTTACCAATTTTGGTTTTTTATTTTTTTCCAAATTAACAACACAAAATAAAACAGCAGATATTTTTGTTACCTCCTATTTCACTGGTAACAAAATTTAGAGGGTAACAGTGAGCTCAGAATACGAAATGGTAACAAAATTTACTGAATGGTATATTTTAATAGCACCCGTATTACGATGGTTTCTTTAGCTCAAGCTTTTCGTTTGCAATAGATGTTATTTGGATTATGAGAACATCGTTCACTGGAAGACAGTTCTTGGTAATGACGTACGTCGTCCTATCCAGCGGTTCTTGTATTGGTGAATGTACCAATTACGTGTGCGGAGATTCAATTTGTATTTTGGGGTGTTCCACAGTAACTATTGCTTACACTGTGTAAGTGATGCTCCGGTGATATCAGGAGTCGCAGCTTGTTGCTATACACATCGTGCAGTGAATAGGTGTGTAAAAAATCGGCAAAATAGCAATATAATTTTGTAAATAACTTATCAATTTCTTTGGCAAACTTCGATATCGAGCAGTACTCGGCATATGAGATCCGCGAAACGTATTTTGGTGGAGGTGGGAGCTCCGATATGTATATCATGAATAAATGTGTGTATCATAATGAGTTGAAAGATCTCAAAACAGACAGGTCGGCAAAAATTTATGGTATTTGCATATTTCGGTCAAAAGTTAGTATATCACTTCATGTTCTTGAAAGTTGTAAATGGTATTAGTTTCACATCTATTTATAATGACAACTTGTTCAGCAAATACACCTACATTGTCAGATAATATGACGTTCTATGACAAACTGAAAATTTCACATTCAGGACAAAAATACTGCTTGGCGCAGATTTTGGCTGGAGGTACATTGGAAAATACTTTTTTTGAAATTGATTGTTATTGGCCTTCCATTTCCCGATGTACTTCAGTCTGAGAAGATTAAATATCTCGTTTTCACCAATACAAGGCCACAAGCCACACAGCTCTGTATTTTTATGGCAATAGCAGTTGTATAAGGACCGAGGGTAGGCACTATGATATAACAATTTTGCTTTACTTTAACATTTTCCTTAATAAAAAAAAATAAAGCTCTTTAAATTTTTAACAAAAAAAAAATAAAATAAAATAAAACGTGACAATTACTCAAAAAGCAAAAGTAGAGTAATTAATAGTTGATTTTCATAAACATCACATAAAAACATACAAGCTCAATAAACTATTATTTTCATTGATACATACCTGAATAAGGTTTATCCGGTACTCAGTAACTGTGACTTTCCCGTTTACTCCATTTAAAATGTCGAAAATTCCCCTTAATAAATATTCCACGGATTCAATCGTTGTACACTTCTGTGATAATTCCTTCAACGTTTCTAGAGATTCCTTTCTCGTTACATCGTCCTTACAATATAAATTTTGTAAAATAACTTTTCCAAATGATGATGTATATTCACTCAAATCTATATTTATGTGATGGATAATATTCCCCATAGTATAAATGGCTACTTCAGGGCTCCTTAGAATGGATTTTAGTAATACCGGAAAAAGATTTTCCTTGAAATCCTCTTGTGAAAGATCGATTAGCAATGGTCGGCATGCATTTATAACCGAATTATGTGGCTTTATCTTGCTGGTTATAACGCCTTTTACAAAATATTCCAAAAGTTTCGATTTGTATTTAATGTCATATTCTTTGTTATCTGAATGCCTTCGTTCAAACCGAATTAGTAGCATAATTAAAATTATAACGGAATGTGCCGGTTCTTTTGTTAGCATAGTTGAAAAACACATGTCGAAAATATATGAATTTAACCATGAATCAAAGAATATTTTCTCAGCCATTTCAACAATTCGAATATTACAAGAAAGAAGAATATGCTGATACAAAATACTCTGATACTCCACCAATTTAGGATATTCCGTTTTGTATACATTCGAGTTGGACGTTCCATTTCTTATTATCAAGTCGGTCCATCCCAATGCAATTAAAGAAAATTTTGCACATTTTTGTGGTGGCAGCTTTGACAACTCTTTACTCAAAATAGTTTTAATTACTGTAGTCATATGTATGATAGCCACGTCATGATGCTGTTTAATAATGTCCACAATGAGATTTCGTACGAGAAGTTGAGAAGCGCTATCCTTATACTTTGTTAGAGTTGTACCAATAACTTTACATATCCCTTTGATAATAGATTCATTCATACCTAAAATATTTTATGGCACATAGCATATAAGTTTTAATACAAGTATATACGTATGCACAAATGCATGTACACGAACATACCTGGATTGTCCAGGACCGCTGCAACATTATAAAATAAATTTGTTCTCTCATCGTATGAAACAGAAAGCACTCGATTTGGAAGATCACGCAAAGCCGTCGATAACTACAAGGCAGTAAACAACTTAAACAAATATTTTTATTAAATAACCTTCAAACTTACTTCAGCATTTGCCATTTTTAACCATGCTATACTTTAAATTACGCTAAAGATTAATGCTTGCCTAGTGACAATCAAGACAACATTCGATACTCTAGTTTCGATACCGATTACCTTGTGACTTTAATTTGATGTTTTTAACATTATATGAAGTTTTCATGTGTGTCAATAATGTGACGAGAATGAATGAATGAATGCAAGAAGAAAACAGATAATGCTAACTACAAAATGTTGTTGTTGTTGTAGTGTTTCTAACCCCGTTTAGAAACAGGTTTGAGATCATTTAATGGGTGGTCCAGGAAATGAGCTGTTAGACGGCGTTGGACCAAAGGTAGAGGGGGGTTAATGAGTTGGTTTGAGCGGGCATGTGAAGAGGTGATTAGTATCGTGCGGATACTCTTCACATGCAGGCCATACGTTGAGTATGCTGGGGCTAATCTGGATAAGTAGGAGCTTAAACTGCTACAGTTTCCAGGCCTGAGTTGTATCAGGGTCTCTCGAGGCAGCTCGAGCTCGTTGTCTGGATGCTTCGCTGTGCAAGTGATGCTCCGGCGACATCAGTGGGTCGCGGTTCTGTGAGCGTTGTCCTGGCAAGCCTGGACTTCTTCATCTGCGCTTCGTTCGTCCCCGGCGCTCAGATCGGTGCAGCCTAGTTTACAAACGGACGGCCAATTGTTTTATATGTTGCCAGCAACGTTTCTTTGTCTTTACCACAGGTGCTGCCGGCTAGCGCTTTGATTATTTTGTTGCGAAATGATCGGCAAGGTAGCAGTTCACTTTCGAACAGAGGTAGCCAATATCCTGGCCAGACGCCATTATCGAACAATCATCGTCACACGAGGTTAGAGAAACGCCTTCAGGTAGCCCATGTCCGTTAGTAGCACTGAGTGATTTACTGTGGCTGGGGCGAAGAGAGTTAACTTGTGGACCGTTCCTTACTTTATAAGGCACCAATTAAGTAAACGAAATTATTATTTTTTGAGCCCGAACTTTATTTGTTGAATTCTCGCCTAAGACTAACTTAAAAACTAAACAGAACCTTTAATTAGTAAGCGAAATTGCCATCTTATCTTGCAATACACATTAGCAAGCAAGCGGGCTTGTCACGTCCACCTGGAGCGCTAACTTGATTCCCATTGCAAGGCTCCCACAACGTGACAGAAATTTGGTGGGAAAATGCTCATTAATCAAATTAAACCAACGTCGTTACTTAACTTGCAAAGAGTAATGTCATTGGCTTGTGTGCTAGTGCGCCGCATCGCGGTGATACAGCTTGCTGCAGCCTTCTAGCTAAAGTGGGGATTGAGTCTTGAGTTGCTAAAAGATGGTTGGTGTAACCTGACAGGTACTTAGAATGCCATAGGTGGTAAGTCCATTGAGTCAATAGTTCCAATGGTCGCGTGACATATGGGTACATTCTGTATGTCACGTTCGTTCTTTGGAATGGTTTTCTAATGTCTGGTCACGAGACTCTCAATACTTTTTTACCTTGAGCTAAAAGGCGAGCTGTGAGAGGATTTTATTAATGATTTGTGTGAATGACCGATGTACTCAGACATTAGGGTCTTATGGCGTATTGGAGTTGTTAGGACAGACAGTCAGTAAAGGGTGTGTGATGTTCTCTCTTATGGAGAGTACATGCATGCTCTTGAAGTGTTTGCGCGTGAAGTGCTTAGACGGAGAAGGCATCTGCGGTTTAATTGACCGTTAGGAGTAAGAATAAGCATGTTTGAGATGGTGTGTGAATAATGAGGCTGTTACCAGACCGGAGCCTTATGGAAGCTCAACTGGTAGTATCTTCGGGTACGATGTTGGACCGGAGACTCAAATCTGGCACCATGGGTAACAGGAGCCAGCCAGTGTCAGCTCAATTTGAAGTTGCATTGCTACCGGGTGCCATACCCATCGTACCACAAAGGTTTAGATTGGCCTCGAATCCTACTAAGGTGGTTAGTGAGTTCACTAGGAACTTCAAGATTGGGTGCGGCTCATATAGCTGAGTATGGCAAGCGCTAATCTGCCATTGACATGGAAAAGTCTATTTTTATATAGAAATGGAATCATATCATTTTACAGTCTATAGGCTTGGGGACTGAACTTTGTACTCAGTCACGCGAATTGCTCGAGGGAATGAAGAGATTCTATAAAGAAATCGGGTTCTTCTCCGATCGCATGATAGGTCTCACTTTTGCGCTTTTCTGGCGGAGACCGTTGGACCATATTCCCGAATTTGAGAGATGCGATTAGACACGTTTGTCTTCCATGTGCACGGTATCTTTTTGAGCCATGCCAGTACTACTTCAAAGTCTGACAATAAAAATGTGTTGCACGCTTCTAAGCCGAGCTGGTTTTGGACAGTTGCTGTCAGTTATTCTTTTCAGTAAGGGGGATGTTGCATAATTATTGAAAAATTGGATGGTGTTTGAAAACTTGTCCGTTAATGCGTTTTATTGAATACCAAGAGTTTTGGTGGTAGAAGCATCTTCGAATTTCAAGAAATTGGAGTCGGGAAGGACTTCTCTCAGTAATTTGTCCAATATAGCTGGATTATTGGCCGTTAATTTCTTTAGAATAAGCCATTTGACTTTATCGCTTTGATCACTTAGAAGAGTGAATCAGTGGCATTGTCAATATCATGATTCCGGCCAGGACATCATCAACAAAAGTTTGGTTTTTGAGTATTGGTGCTGCCAGTCGAAACTTCGATTTTGTATCTTCAGCCAATTGACGCAGAGTTCGAAAAGCGAGATATGGCACACAATAACCCGAGTGCCACTGTGTAAAGATTATGGTCAGAGATGGGAGAATCCTCTGTCTCGCGAAACAGATTTCGCTGTCTACATTGAATACGCATCTCGACATGCGCCCTTGTAAAATTAGCAACATGAGGTCAGGGTGGAGAGATGCTCCTGTATATAACATATCATTTAGAGAATACCCGAACTTGATGTTTTCGGTGCATTCAAAACCACTTGCACTTTAGTCGTGACTTATCTGGTTTTACAACCGCATAGTTTAGCAAATAGAACGAATAGCAATTGCCATTGGAAATGACTCCAAGAGGGGTTGTAAGTTCTATATGGCCCAAGTTGATATATACACGGAGGGACAGCTTAAATTACGGGTTGTTGTTGCAAGATAATGATCTTCACATGCCAAGTTTTCAGGCGTACTTTGTGGAGGTAGTGGATTTTCTCCTGCTCACAGTTGTGCACAGAGTATGTAACTGCCTTTGTTGAGATTTCACATATGCAAACTTGCTCTTACAATCTTTGACGTTGCGAATGTAATCAAGGTAGTAGAACATATTGTTACGATTTTGCTGAATCAACCTCGATAATCCAAACTCAGAGGCTTGTTCTCAAGGTCGACCACTTTCATCTTGTTTCTTGGACTCCCAACTGTTCGATACACTACGTCATTTAGCCGTTTGATTATCTTATATGGACCTTCCCAATTACATTGAAGCTTTGGAGACAAACCCCTCTTCCGTTGTGGATTGTACAGCAACACTAAATCTCCATTTTGGAAACCCTCGGAGTTCATCGCCTTGTCATACCTGGCCTTCATTTTGTCGATCATAATTTGAGTTCACTGTCTCACAAGAGCATGCACCTCTCTTAGCTCNATTCTTAACTTCGGAACTACCATTAGCTTCCGGGAACACTGACCATCTTCATTTTCCCACACTCTCTGCAAACAGCCGGATATCAGCTCTAAACTGTTCCATTGTGCCCAGTATGCCTTCACGATAGGAATTTCCGCAGCCATTTGTTCCTTACTTGGTCGTCTAATTACCTTCAACCCGTGCATTAATAATTCTAAATCTAGATCTTCTTGCTGACATTTCCTTGAGTTACTTGCCTCCCACTCTTCTGCTTGCGTAACTTTCATTTGCCGGACGTCTATTATGTCTTCTTTACCCTCAGCTTTTGAGCAATGTTTACATTAATATCGACGGTGCTCGATTGTGAAGTCATAACTTTGAGAAAATAATGGTTCATCTTCCTCTGCCTTCCGTTTTCGCTGCACCTCCTGTTTGCGGAACTTGTTCTGAATTCGCGTGCGAAGGGACCAGGCTTTCCACATTTAAAGCATTTTCCCATTTGGGTCTTGAAACCAGAACGATACTTCAGTAACGAATAGTGCAGCGGTTTTATCCTCTATGCTCCAGTTGTTTGTTTCAGCTGTCTTCTCAAATTGAAGCTTAAAGACTTGAAATGGGATTTTTCCGTCAAAACATGGTGTTTTTACCTTCGGAGCGTTTACTGAAGCGATTGGACGATTTAGTTGCAATTCCCGGAAACGACTTTCCAATGCGTTGACTTTGGTCTCAATTAGATTCTGCCTTTCCTTAAGTTCCGCATTGTTCCTCACCAGATTTTGCTGTATTTGCGCCATTTGTGATGTAATGTGCATTCATCTTTTGTGAGATGCTGGCTCTCATTTCAGACATATTTTGTGCGATGCTGGCATCGAACTTTTGTGAGATGCTGGCTCTCATTACAGACATATTTTGGGAGATCGCAGTCAATAACATGTTCATGTCAATATTCTTGGATGAGCCACAGAATCATCAGCCTCTTCCTAGTCAATGTCTTTTGAGAATACATCTTCATCCTCGCGATGGAACTCGTACTGGTTCAAGTCGATGCCTTCAACTTCCATTGCTTCTCGCAGTCTCGATTGCAGCTCTGCCTTATTTCCAGTTATCGATAATCCTCGCTTTGCCAACTCCCTCTTGAGAGGAGGTATCGTCAAATCCTGAATCTTTACCATTTTGCAAATATTATCCTTTGGGATTTATTTAACAATCCCACTTCTGACACCAATTGTTACGATTTTGCTAAATCAACCTCGATGATTTTCTGAATCCTTCGGGTACGATCTCTGGACCTAATTTGCAGTTTCTTTCGTTATAAATAATTTATCTAATATCCTTTATTTACTCAGTAATTCACAATTCAATTACAATGTACTTTACTAGTTATAATCACTTGTACACACAATCTACTTTACTTAAGCGTAATCTCCAACGAGTTGACTTTACGACTCAAATAGTTTATTCTTCTATACTCTATGTTGTCGGAA